CTACCTCCCTGCCCGAAACTCCAGGGAGCTCCATGGAGGCCAACGATGACCAAGGGAGAAGATCGGGGTAACCATGTAAAAGGAACGGACCCACCCTGCAGGTTCGGTGAATAGCACATCTTTGAGCGGTGGTGCAACCTCCCTTGAACACAGGCCACCCCCGGAACAGCAGCTAGATACGTCGGGTTTACAAATCCATGTTTGATTGGACTCTGGGCGTGTTTCGGTGCTCCACAGCCGCCGCCCCGTCGTCACGACCCCTGAATCGGGTGACGGCGTCAGCGACACTTGCGGTGACCGACGCGACCCAGAGATAAGCCAAAGCGAAGCTCGCCCCTGGTGGGTGTGCATTGACAAGGGAGTCCGACAGCGACGACGACAAACGGACGGACAGACACAACAAAGAAGACTGACCTACCTACATACGTACATCTGTTAGCCAGCGTGGACATTATGTTCTAGCAAACTACGTGGCGCAACCAGGGTGATGCAGGGGGTCTCTTGGGCTGTCTTGGAGCGGTCTGGGGAGCCTCTGGGTCGGTCTAGGAGCGTCGGAAAGCCGAAACAGCGAGGAAACAAAAAACATGAAAAAATATGATAATAAACTATTTTCGCCTCTCTGGCCGCTCGCTCGGCGGCATCTTCACGCCTCTTGGGGCGTCTCGGGGGACGTCCTCGGCAACTTCAGACGCATCGTGGGCTCCTGGAGACACCTGCACGCGGTCTTGGGAGCGTCTCGAGAACGTCTGGGGACGCCGGGACGGCTGTCCGAGGGCCCCTGCGGCCTTTTACGGGCCCTCTTCGGCCATCTTGGGCGGGTCTGGGGGCAGTCTTGGGGCTCTCTTGGGCCGTCTAGGAGCTCAGTTGGAGGCTCCTGGGCCGTCTTGGAGCGATCTAGGGAACCTCTGCGGCGGTTTTGGAGCGTCGGGAAATCAACACAGCGAGGAAGCAAAAACATTGAAACTACGAATGAAAATCAACGATTTTCGCCTCTCTGGCCGCTCGATCGGCGGCATCTTCACGCCTCTTGGGGCGTCTCGGGGGACGTCCTCGGCAACTTAACACGCATCGCGGGCCGCTGGAGACACCTGGAGGCGGTCTTCGGAGCGTCTCGAAACCGTCTGGGGCCGCCGGGACGGCTGTCCGAGGGTTCCTGGAGCCTTCTTGGGCTCTCTTGGGCCGTTTTGGGCGAATCTGGGGGCAGTCTTGGGGCTCTTTTGGGCCGTCTTGGGGCTCTCTTGGGAGCCTCTGGGGCCGTCTTCGAGAGGCCTCGGGAACCTCTCGGGCGGTCTTGGAGCGTCGGAAAGCCGAAACAGGGAGAATGCCAAAAACATAAAAAACATGAAAATCAACGATTTGGGCCTCTTGGGCCGCTCTAGGCCGGCATCTTGAAGCGTCTTGGGACGTCTTGGGGGGGCTTCCTGGGTAGTTTAAAACGTATCGTGGGCGGATGGAGACGCCAGGAGGCGGTCTGGGGAACGTCTCGAGACCGCCCAGGGCTGCCGGGACGGCTGTCTGAGGGCTCCCGACGGCGATTTCAGCCCTCTCAGAGGCGCCCCGGGCCCCGGGCTCCACATGTGTGGTCGAGGTTCGGGCCCCCGGGAGCGTCCTGGAGCCCCGTGGCCCCCATGGGTGTCCGAGGCACCAATCTGGCGGCCCGCGTCCCTTCCATACAAGACTTGAAGCTCGCTGCGCTTCGCTTGGAGGTCTTGACACGATGCGCCGGCGCGCGCTGTGCGAGTGAAGTGCGACTATGCGGGTCGAAGCGTCGGCGATGGGCAGGAACGGGGATGGGAAGGTCACGGGCGCATGGGCGTCGGCCCCTGGAGTGCGCGCGCGCCGCGCGCGCGCGCCGAGTTGGCAAGGGGCGACGCACGCGACGGTCATCGGCGATGAGATTCGGCGGGGATGCAACGCCGAGGGCAAGGGAAGGGAGAGGGAGGCTTCGGATGAGGTGAATACAACGAAAAGGGTGCTGGCGACGATGGTGGCCTCATACCTCTGCATATTTGGGCTGGGAAGGTCACGGATAATGGCAACTGAGACGATGACGGAGTGTACGAGCGCAGATAGGACTACGACGGTGATGACATGGTTGTGGCGACGACGGAAGTGGGGCGGGGGACATGCTTTCGGCGATGACGCATGTGTGGGGTTCAAGGGTTGGGAAGGTGATGGGGGGGCGAATTGTGGAGAAGGGAGGCTCGCAGGGGGTGGGTGCTATGTTAGTGGTGATGATTCCGTTCATGACAGGTGTGGTAAATGCGGGGCATTCGGGGCAACTTCAGGATTCGGGGGCCCTATTGGGGAAGACGGAGGGGTCGGAATCCTTCTTGGCGGGTGGGACACAGGGGGTTGGGAAGGTCAGGGGCAGCGCCTGTGGACAGGGTGTTTACCATGGCGGTGACCACGATGATGATGACGTGGTTGCGGCGACGACTGAAGTGGCATGCGCAGGGGGCGGGAGGGGCAGGGGCTCGCCAGCCTGGATCGAAGGAGCGGCCCGAAACCGGGAACCCCCCCCTCAGCCCGACGTGGCCTTTCTCTCGGCGTCTTGACTGTGTGCTCGGATCTGCAAATCTACATGCAACAAACCTCGTGCCATCGAAACGGTCTCGGCGGCTGCTTGCCCGCGTGCTTCCTTCCCTGTCCGTCTGCGCGCGCGGCCGCTGTTTCATCGGCCTGCGCGCGCGTGGCTTGCATTGTCGTGCCCTCCTGTCTTGCTGCGAAGAGAAAATATTTACACTGCCCCATGCCTGCAGTCCGCGGAACACCTGGTCAGGTCCAGGCGTTTCGAAGCACATCAACGATTTGGGTCTCGCGGGGCCCTCTTCGGAGGCCTCTCGGAGGCCTCTTGGGCGGTATTGGGGGCCTCTTGGGCCGTCGTCAAATCATCATAGGCGTTTTGGGCAGATTATTCGGCGATTTCGAGCCCTTTGGACCGTCTTGGGAAGCCCAACTGGCGAGCCAGAGAATACCCAGGGGACACCTGGGGACTGGCCAGAGAGAGCCCCACGGGCCCCTGGGGCCGCCAGATTATATTGGGGGGGGGGGGCCGCCCATCCCCGGGGATCTCCTGATGTGGGATAATAAAGATAGGAATATATATATATATATATACATATATACATATATATACATATATATACATATATAATATATACATATATTACATCCTCAGGGGGGGTCGATAATTCTGGCCTCGTGGGGTGGTAGATCCGAAATCTTTCGTCGCAATGAGATTAAGTGTGGTGTAACAGGTGTATGTGGTGCAAACTCTGTGGTGTAAGCTATGTGGTACAATCTATGTGGGGCAACCTGCATGGTGCAATCTTGGAAACTATGCGGTGCAAACTGAACGGTGCGGCGACGAGGCGGCGGCGACAGGCGGCGACGAGACCGCGACGGGCGTCGACGAGCGGCGACGGAGCGGCGACGGGGCAACCGCAAGCCGGCCGGGGCGACACCCCAGCCCAGTTCCTTCAAAGGCAAGCGAGAACGCCGGAGTGCAAGCACTGCTTGTGGAGCTAGATGCCGGAAGCACGCGGAGACTCTTGAAGCGGCTGTGCGCGGCGCTGCGGCGACAGCTCCCTCTTGAAACCCGCCCGCCCTCCAGCCCCGCAGCTGCTGGAGTTTCTGAGGCTTCAGGGTCATGAGCAGTGGGGAGGCCTCGGGCGAGACGCTCGGCACGCCCTGCCGACACGTCTGGTGGTGCGACGAGGGGCTACTCTACGGGGAAGAAGGCTGCAGGACGAGGATGGGGAGGGGAGTTGAGGGGAGGATGGGGGAGAACAAGGGCACCAGGAGTGGTGCAGAAAGGGACCAGACCCCTTACCTCACCTATCCTTGGGTGCGTTCCAGCCAGAGACCCACCAGCCCCCTGTGCAGAGGTTGTTTCACGCGTGCCTTCTTCCGCACTCCTTCGTCCCCTTCGGGGAGGGGTTTGTCACAGCCCCTACAGTCAAAATCCGTAGTGAGGATGCAACCCCATACAGTCAAGATCCATAGCAAGGGGGCGCTGCTTCGTAAAGGATACCCTTGCATCCTTGCTTCGTCGGCCCATCCTGAGCCAATGTCGACGCCCAACGAGCCCTGACTGGCACATGGGACATGGTCTTGCACCATTCCCTCGCGTCCTTACTATGGACTATGACTTGAGCAGGGACCGACCGTCCCGGCATTCCTATAGTCCTACCACGCACGAAATGTTCTTAGAACCCAAAACTGTTCTAAGAACAAAAACAATGTTATTGCAACGCAAACCCGATGAGATAAAACAAGACAGACTCCGCCAGACATGTTCCAAGAACATTCCGTGGGAACCACCAAAGGTTCTTAGAACATTCTTTGGTAGGGCTATAGGTGAGCCGGGACGCTTCGCCACTGCTTGAATGACTGTACCCCTCCCCTGGTTCTGGACGGGCCGCGGTCAGAGCAGCCAAGACTGCCCAAGCTTGCTCCAAGACGGCCCCAGAGAGGCCCAAGCTGCCTCGAAGCTGGGACAAGGCATGCAGGAGAGCCTACAGCATGCCTCCCAGAGGAGCCCCCCCAAAGCGCAGGAAAAACCCAAGCACCTCGAACCTCGATCCGCAGAACGATCGACGAACGATCGGCGACGACGAATGACGAACGATCGACGCCGCCGACGTTCGACAACCGCGACGAACGATCGACGACGATGAGGAATAGCGATAGCGACGACCACGACGACGAGCGATCGAAGAACAATCGTGCGTCACCGTTGTCGTCGTGGTCGTTGATCGTTCCTCGTCATCGTCGATCGTTCGACGTCGTCCTCGATTCTTCGTCGTTGTCGTCGTGTCGTCGTCGTCGATCGTTCGACGTCGTCCTCGATCCTTCGTCGTTGTCGTCGTCGTCGTCATCGTCGTCGCTGGTCGCTCTTCGATCGTTTGTTGACCGCATCGACCGATCGTCGACGATAGCGACCGGCGCGTCGATCGCTCGATCGCGTCGATCGTCGACGGCGACTGGCCGGCCGCCTCCGCGCTTGGCACCCGCGCCGGCCGCCGGCGCCGGCGCGGCGGCCGGGGCGGGGGTGGCTGCCCGCGCGGCGGCCCTGTTGTCCCAGGCCCTGCGGGGGCGGCGGGGGGACAGGGGAGGGAGAGGGAGAGGGAGGGGGGAGAGGGAGGGCGGGGAGGGGAGGGAGGGGAGGGAGGGATGAAGGGGAGGAATGGGGAGGGAGGGCGGGGAGGGAGGGAGGGCGGGGAGGGAAGGGGAGGGGAGGAGGACGGGGAGGGCAGCGAAGACGAGACGCGCGCCGCGCCGGAGGGAGAAGCGGCCGATGCTTCGCTTCTTCTGCCCAGGCGCCGCGAAGGTGTGAAGGCAGAGGGCGGCACTGCTGCTTCGGAGGGAAGGGGGGGAAAGCCGGGGAGGGTCCCAACTTCGGATCCGCCGTGCTTCGGTGTCCGACGACACTGCGGGTCCGAAGACGCCACGTTCGGGGGTTGCTCAAGGTGCCCCTGGCCCAAGGTTGGATTTCCTGGGGCTCCAGCCTGCCGACAGCTCTCTGGAGGCCGTGGAGACCCCCTCGGTGTCGCCGCCGTTGTGTCTGCAGCCTCGACGTGGGTGGCCCTTCCTCCCCAAGCCCTCTTCCGGCCCGACTGCTCGCGGTTGAAACCCTCGGCGGAGGCCTCCCCGCAAATCTCCCGGCAGGCGGCAAAACGGCGGCGACGGCCGCGCACCGGCGGCGGCTGCCGCCGCCCTCGTCTGCGGCAGTGTGCGGCTGGCTGCGACCGCCGCATGTCGTCGGCGACGACGGACGGCGGGGTCGCTGTCGTCGGCTGGCTGCGACCGCCGCCTCTCGTCGGCGGCGTCGGCAGGCGGCGGCGTCGGCGGGCGGCGACGGCAGGCGGCGGGGCCGGAGGGGCCTGCCCTCCACGGGTGGCGGTTTAGCGACCTCCTGGCAGGCTCTGGGGGCGGGTATCTCCTAGCTCCTCCTCCTTTTCCTCCTCTTCGTCCTCCTTCTCCTCCTCCTCCTCCTCCTCTTCCTCCTCCTCCTCGTCCTCGTACTCCTCCTCCTCCTCCTCCTCCTCCTCCTCCTCCTCCTCCTCCTGCTCCACTCGCGCCTCCTCCTGTTCCTCCTCCTCCTCCTCCTCCTCGTTTTCCTCGTCCTCGTCCTCGTCCTCCTCCTCGTTTTCCTCGTCCTCCTCGTTTTCCTCGTCCTCCTCGTTTTCCTCTCGTCTCCTCGTTCTCCTCTTCCTCCTCGTTTTCCTCGTCCTCCTCGTTTTCCTCGTCCAAATCCTCCTCCTCCTCCTCCTCCTCCACGTCTCCACGTCCACGGATCCTCTCCTTCCAAGTCCGTCCCGTCTCCTCCTCTCCTCCTCCTCCTCCTCCTCCTCCTCCCTCCTCCTCCACGTCCTCCTCGTCACCGTCCTCGTCATCATCCTCGTCCTCGTCCTCGTCTCGTCCTCCTTCTCCTCCTCCTCGTCTTCGTCACCGTCCTCGTCCTCATCCTCGTCCTCGTCCCTCGTTCCTCGTCCTCGTCCTCCTCCTCCTCGTTCTCGTCCTCGTCCTCGTCCTCTCCTCTCTCCTCCTCCCTCCTCCTCTTCCTCCTCCTCCTCTCGTCCTCCTCCTCCTCCTCCCTCGTCCTCGTCCTCTCTCCTCTCATCATTCTCCCCTCGTCCTCGTCCGTCCTCGTTCTCCCTTCGTCCTCGTCGTCGTCCTCGTCCTCGTTCTCGTCCACGCCCACGTCCTCCTCCTCCTCGTCCTCCTCCGCCTCCTCCTCCTCCTCTTTCTCGTCCTCCTCCTCCACCTCCTCCTCCTCGTCCTCGTCCTCCTCCTCCTCCTCCCCCTGCTCCTCGTCCTCCCCTCCTCCTCCTGCTCCTGCTCCTGCTCCTGCTCCTGCTCCTGCTCTTCCTCCTCCTCCTCCTCTTTCTCCTCGTCCTCGTCTTCGCCCTCATCGTCCTCCTCTTCGTCCTTTTCTTCGTTTGCCTCGTCGTCGTCCTCGTCCTCCTCCTGCTCCTCATCCCCCCCCCTCCTCTTTCGTTCCTTTCGCAACGGTGTCGGCCGTCGCCAGCCGTCCACCGCGCCCGCGCGGGGTACCGCGCGCGGGGCTCAGGCCGGCGCGCGGGCGGGGCCCCCTGGACGCCACCGGGGGGCGTTCTCCGAAGAAGGGGGAAGAGGGGGGAGGGGAGGCCACCAATCTTCCTGCAATCCTGAAGCCGTCAGAGGAAGGGGGGAGGGGGAGCGACGGGGCCACTCAGTAGTAGGTGCAAGCGGTTCCGAAGACGGCGTACATTGCGCGTAGCGTATTACACGGCGTACCTTGTCCGTAGCGTTGAAGACGTCGAGCGTTCCCCCAGGCATTTAGCAGCTTAGATCCGTATCGAAGTACAAATTGTTCTATCAGCAGTAGCTCAGCAGCCATTTCAGGAGACGGCTGGCTTCCAACGTACATGTCGCGATACACTGCCACTCATGCGTTGTAGGAATAGTATAGCTATGGATATGGTCTCTGTTTATCGAACACTACTGTAGGCAGATCACAACCGATGTAGCGGTGTGCATGTTCCAATCGGATGCATACCCATGCGCACATTGCACGTATCTCCCGTCCTGTCGGCAACCGAACTTCGTCATGAACATTCGGTTCCATTCTGTCCATCTCAACTACAGTATGTACTGGCACCTCGCGGTTCTGCCGCATCTTACTGAAATTCGCATTGCGTATAATGCAACCGGCATGTCGAGACGTCTGACACGCCATGAATCTGTCCATAATCCAAACCTGTGCCCCCGCAGAGGCAGAGGATATGACGCGCGCCGCGCGCAGTTCCACGCCCGAAATTCATCGGGGCCCGGGGCCGGCAACAAGCGCACTTCGGTTGCTCGCCCATCCTACCTCGAATGGGCGAGGAGGGCAACGGGCGGCGCCGAGCGAATATCGCCGCCGCCGCCCCCGCCGCCAAGAGGTCCGTCGCCGTCACTGGGGACGGCGCTGCCGTTATCCTTGCTGTCGTCATCCCCATCGCCGGGCTCATTCGGCTCATTTCCCCCCGCCGCCGGCTCAGCCGGGGGCGAGAGGGAGTTGACCGGGCGCGGTCCCAACTGCTGCGGACCACGCGACCACGGGGCCCGGTGAAAGGCTGACCGAGCTGGCGCCGGGGCCGCTTCAGCAGGGAAATGCGGGATCCCGCCCAATAGTTGTTCCAATGCCTGAGGCGAGGTCGCCCCGACAGCGCCCGCAAATTAATCGCTCGACGCGAAATGCGGTGCCCTGCTTTCGAGGATTATCGAGAGTCGGTGGTGCGATGGCATCGGCCCTCCTAGAATATTGGTCCCGATGGTGTGTCAGCATCATCGCATGCTGACTTCTTCTTTCGTGCATCGCGAGTATCATCTTCGCAAGCTCCCTTTTCTGCGAAGATTTGGTCCAAGATTTCCTCTTGTGCCAGCCCGCCCCGACCTGGCAGACGCGGTCCGCCGGCCTGACCCGACCCGTCCGTTAGGGCACGCGCGTGCAAACTCGATGATGCATTATGCTGCAACGCTCCGCCCGCTCAGGCCAGCCCGCCCGCCCGCCCCGACCCGCCCGCCCGGGCGCGCTCGCGCGCGCCAATGCGAAGGCGCATCGCGCTTTAATGTCCCGCCCGCGTCGCATTTGCATGCCCGGCGCCCGCCCGACCCGACCCAGCCCGAGGTGCACCAATGCCGACTCGATCCCGCATCGCACTTTCATGTCCCGCCCGCGCGACCTTCCCGGTCGAGCCCGCCTGCCCGGCCCGACCTGGCCCGACGCGCCCTTCAGGGCACGCGCGTGCCAGCTCGACGATGCGCCGCGCAAGAATGTCCCGCCCATCCGACCCGACCCGCCCGATAGGGCCCCGATCCGACCCGACTGGCTCGCCGGGCATTGGCGCGCGCGCCAAATCGATAACGCGCCGTACTCTAATATCCTGCCCGCCCGACCCGACCAGCCCGCTAGGGCCCGCCCGCCCGACCCGGCCCGCCCGCCCAACCCGACCCTCCGCTAGGGCACGCGTGCCAAAGCGATGCTGCCTCAGGCTCGAGCACAATTCGATACGCGTGGGTAAATGTAAGTCGGGCGCCAAGGGGATTTTCGACGACAAATAAAAAAATGCACCAACAATAAGCAAAAAATGTCCAAACATCCTCTGGGGACTATTATTAAATATTTGTGGATCTTCTTCAATTATGAAAATGTAATTTCGGGGTATTTAGTTTTCGTCGAAAATCCCCCTGTAAGGGGACGCGCCCGACATATGGTGGATCAAAGGTTGGGGGGTGATATCGAAGTGGGCCCGAGAACCCCCTCCTTTCCCCCCGAGGGGAATGGGCTTTGAATTTTGGCTCGGGCGGGCGAAGCAAAGCTGCTCGGAAGCGGAGGAAATCCTTGTCCTCTCCGGCCTGCCCGCCGCGGTGCTCCCAGGGGCGTCCCGTGGTTGCCCTGCGGTTGCCCCGCGGTAAGACACGTTGCGTCCCCGAGTGCCCGCCGCGATGCCACCGGGGTTGCCCCGCGGTTGTCTCGAAAATGCCCCGCGGCTATTCCCGCGGTTGTCCTGCGCGGTTGTCCAGCGGGGTTGACCCGCGGTCGTCCCGTACTTGTCCCGCGCCCTGGCGCGCCCCCGCGGTGGTCCCTTGCGGTTTCCCCGTGTTCAGATGGATGTTGGAATGAGTACCCATCGGTCGGAAGAAGTACATAGAAACATGAAGTAGGAAGGCGCTGGAAGTAGATTGGGTGTCCGCTCGCCCCCTGAAGAGGACGGAAGAGGTGAAGCCACTCGATCATTGAAGTTGGAAGGCGCTGAAAGTAGATTGGAATCTGGGAATCCAAAAATACCTACTTTCAACGATCGGTGGGTATACATATTCACGTATGTACAGACTAGAAGCGCGCGTGCTTAGGCTCTAGCGCAAAGCGGGGCGGCGCCGCAACTTGCGCGAGCGTCGATGGAACTCCTTAAAAAACCGCCGTCTGGGGACTCGGACCTCGCTCCGCGTCTGCATGCACGATCAGCGCAGCCAACGCCTGCTAGCGTTTTCGATGAAAACAACGAGGAGTACGAACGCGAGGCAAGGTGGGTGCACGCAGGAGGGGACGCACCAAATTCGTTCAGCGCATCATGGGCAATTGACACACGTACGTACGTCAGTCGCAGCAAACCCGCCGGGCGCCTCTTGTACACCCCCCACCCCTGCCAAAGCTGCCAATTCGCCCAAACTTCTGCCTGCCCATTTGCTTTCTTACGGCCCGTCCTCTCCTCCTTGCGGTCAAGTCCGTCCGCTGCTCATTGGCTGGGAAACACAATCTCAGTCCTGCACCTCGCTCGTCTGTCCTGCCGGTACCTGGCGCCGCCCTGCCGGCTGAGTGCACCACGGAAAAAAAAAAAACGAGCACATAGAAAAACGCAACTAGACCCGGAGCGGGACAGGCTAGCTGCCCCTGCCAGGTCTGCACAGAGGAGATCACCAACAGCTGGGCGAACACCGAATTCAATGATGCGACGCGGAGGCGCGGACCGGTGGAGGCGAGTTGTCCCTGTCGTGCCTGTACGAGCGACACCTCTGCGACGGGAAACTCCCCCGACTACCCGAATGACGGAGCTCGACATGGAGCGGGGGAGGCGAGCTACCCCCGGGGTAAGGCTAGGTGAAAATAGTTAACCCATAAGAGGGGGAATAAGAATCAAATAATTTGCGTTCGGGGGGCCAGCGGTAATAGGCAGGCACAGAAGTTGAAACGCTTTGATAAACACTCAAGTGCAGCCGGGCGAGGTCGAGGCGGGCGATCGCGCGCGGGCCAGCCGAACGGGCGCAACGAGGGTCCCTCGACTGCGGGCCGCGGTCGACGCGAGGGCGCGGGAGGAGGCGAAGGAGGGGGGACTCTCATGTTGCACCCCCTCCTCGTCCTCCTCTTCCTCCTCCTCGTCCTCCTCCTCC